CCCCAACAGCCTTAGTGTACAGGAAATGACCGGGCGGCCCCGTCCCACCCATCCCCCAAGAACGTGACAGACCGACGGAATACCCGCAGGCCGGGGGGCGGCGGAACCTGGTGTGGCATGTCTCACCTTCCACGCCCACCTCGCCTCTTCTCACACGACGCCCACTTCGCCCTTCTCCCTCGCCCTCGACTTCTGCTGCTGCTGCTGCTGCTGCTGCTGTTTGTTGCCGAGCCGCAGACGGAGAGGGATGCCCTTGTGCAGGATGGTACCGTAGGTCTCGCTGTCCCGGACCAGTGCCATGCCGCCCGGCAGGAACACCACACCCCCCTGGCCGTCTCTGTCCGTGTCAGATGAGTCACCACAGGGCGGCGATGGCGATGGGAAGCGGCCCGTCGGCAGCAGAGATGAGCAGGGCGTCGGGGACGATGCTGCTGCTGCTGCTGCACTCCTGCGGCCGATGGCGTCTCGCTGTTCTCTGTCCTCCTCCTGCCGGACCAGAAGGCTCAACGAACCGGTCGGCAGCCCGCCCAGTCCGCCCACACCGACATTGGCGGTCCTCAACACACCAAAGGGCGGCATCGGGAACATCGTGGGCCCGCATGCCTCGACATCAGGGTCGCCAGGCCAGTCTTCGTCCTCACTCTCCTCGTCCCTATCCCTCTTCTCGCGCCGCAGCTCACGACTGATGTGGTAGGTCGCGAGTGGACAGGGTCTTCTGTGGCCGGCAAGGGAGCTGGGTGGCGCCTCTGATGGACCGTATGGGCCACTGGGCGAGAAGGGGATCTGGCTGAATGGAGCGGTATGCACGGCCTGGCGGGGGGTGGTGTCGCTGTCGCGATGCGCTCGACGGACGCCAACGGCCTGAACCACAGCAATAACGAGATGCACTCATGTGATTTTCCTCTGCATCTGTGTGTCTTACTCGTTTGCATCGCGGCCATGGCGGCCTTTCCTGTCTTGTCGGCCGCCTCCTTGTCCTTGTCCGTCAATTCATCGCCCCCGGCCTTATGGGGCTCCTCCCTCTCTGATCCATCAGCAGCGCTTTCAGCGCCCCCACTGCGGCCGTTTGCGCGTCTCGCCCCTTCCCTGGTCTTACGCACGGCTGACGGCGGCCCAAGACCGACGGGCGATGTGAGTCTGACGGTCTTGACGGCTTTGATGGCGAAGCATCGAACCAGGTGGCAGAGCTGCAGGATGTTCTGCATGGTCAGGGGCGGCGACTCACTCGGTAGCCGCAGATGGCCCAGTCGGTCGGTGGAGAGCAAGTGAAGCCACTTATCAAACACCTCGGGACGGAGACATGCGAAGTCCATTGCCACCAGATCACCGCCAGGCCCGCTGCTATTGTTGGTGTTGGTCCTGATGCTGATGGCGATGTCGCCCTTGTCGTCATCCACCTGCCCGCCCTTCTCCTTTTTGTCACACTGGCAGGGGCTGGCGTCTTCCGGGCAGAGTAGGGATGGCAGGATGGCGGGACCGCATCCAGCGGTGAGATAATCGCAGAGATGGGCTGCGGGTGCCTTGATGATGGCCCTCGGGGTGGGGAAAGAGGCGACAGGGGACGTGCAGTGGGAGGGGAAGATGCGGAAAGCTCCGGGGGACCACACAAACAGAGACACCGAATTCAGCTCCCCGGCTGCCAGAGATGGAACAGAGTGAATTTCAGGTGGCTGCAGCTCCCCCGCACCGACAGAGGCCCTCCAGCCGAACTCACTCAGCCGCAGCAGATGCGCTGCCAGAAGGTACGCTCCGGCTTCACGCGGCGACGGGAGCTGTTGCGGGAGAGGGAGGGAGGGGTGTCGGGGGGAGTGGAGAAGGGTGAGCGGGGCGCACGGGGCGTGGCGGGGGCAGCACAGGAACAGGACCAGCAGCGAGAGGAGGCCGGCTCGTCGGCAACCGGGATGAAGTGCACGATAAGTGGGAGGGGCTGGTGGTAGGTGCCGTCGGAAAGCAGGATGGGATTCGGCCAAGCGGCCCACCGAGGCCGATAAGGTGGGAGAGTCGCCATTTTTTAATCAAGATTGGTGTCAAAAGCTCGCATTGGCCGTTGACCGTTGGGCCGCGGCACTGGCGTGCGGTCTTGTCGAGATGGGTGCTGCATTATCGCGGTGTGACGACGCGTGCGCGCATCTGCTGGGCGCTGAGGAAGGAGAGATGCGCATTCCACCAAGGCGGCAGCGTCTGGAGGATCAGTTGTGGGAGATGTACCTGGACGACGAGAGGTGGCGAGGCCGCGTTACCCTCCCGCAGATGAATCTCAACACCCAGGAGATCCTGTGGGAGATCCTCGAGGGCACCCTCACGGCTCAGAGAGCGGCGACTCTCGTGACCGGGGCGGAACTCCGCGTGATCGTCCAGATAGGCGACAGCTACCAGTGGGGCCTCGTGGAGCTCATCATGGAGAGGCGGCCGCCGCTGCCTGAAGCCTGCGAGATCATCGACCTCCTGCTCCAGGCAGGCGCCCCGGACGTCACTGCAGGAGACCCCAGCTCCCTCAAGCACGCCATCACCCGCGGCAAGTACGATGTGGCCACCGTCATGCTGCGCCACGTCAATCAGAACAGCCCCAACCTGCTGCGGCTGCATCTCCTGCATGTGGTGGCGCGGGAGAACCACGACATCCAGCCCGCCGTGAAGCTGGCGATGGTGAGCAGCCTGGTGGAGCTGCACCCCGGCCAGCTCCTGGAGCGTGATCGCAACCATCGGCTGCCCATCCACGAATTCTGCCGCCATCCTCTCAGCAGCGAGGCCGCACAGGAGGGGCTCATCGACCTGCTGGTGAGGGATGGCGACCGATACACCCTCAACACGACCGACAGGGCGGGAGCCACGCCCCTTCAGCTCGCCGCCTCCGACCTCAACGCCAGCGGTCTGCTGCGGGGACTGCTGCGGCACGGTGCCAATTTGTGGTCGGCAGGGGTGCCGAGAAGCAGCCGGCTGGGGAGGGTGGAATGGATGCAACGCGTCGTTGACGCGCATCTTGCCTACCTTCGACACAACTTGCTCCGGCTGGTCCGCCGCTCCCTCAACCGCGCGCTACAGCCACTTTGGTCCATCCGTGCGGCCACCGACAACGGGATTTTGAGGGAGATCAAGATGAAAATCGCCGGCTACATGTGCAACGCCATTCCGCTCTACCTGCCCGCCCCTCTCCGACACCGCATCAGCAAGATCACCCGCCTCTTCATCACGGCGGCCCTGGAGAGGACCACTGCAGGCCCCCAGGGAGCATGTTGATGTGTCCAAAATGCGCTTTGGATTCGCTGCCAACCATTGTGCTGTGTCGCTCAAGGAGCTGGTGGAGATGGCGGTCAGAAAGGAGGAGGGACTGTGGGGCGAGGCAGTGACGGTGCAGCTGCCGTGCAGGGACTTGCGAGTCGTGGCGTGTGGCAGCACGCATCACGCCGCGGCACAGTAGGAATGGGATGAGGTGTATGTATGGAGCTCAATGGGTAAAGTGAATCGGTACGGGCAGGGGGTCTGTGTGTGTGGTGGGTGGATGGCTGCGTGGCTGCGTGGGTGCTGTCATGTGAATTCGGTGGGGGCAGGCAGGTATATATAAACACATACATATACGCGACACACCAGTGTCCGTTTGGTATGAGGGGGCAAGGAACGGCAGGTGCGAAAGGGCGTTTTCTTGGTGTGCTAGGTTAGGTGGTAGGTGGTGTGGACGACGAAGGCAAGTGCGATCGAGTGAATGGTTGCATATCAATTGACGCATGTACGACACAGTCAATGTCCATGCTTCTTAAATGTCAATGTGCCATCCATCCATCCATGTGACCAGCCACTCAGCGACTCAGTCAGAGGAACCATAGTGATTTCGACAGCTTCTCGGACGGCAGCTTGTTTTTCAGTGCCGCCGTCACTTTCCGCGCACACCTGAGCCCAATCGATTCATTCTGCACGGAGTAGCTGCATGTGTGGCCCATACGCTGCTTACGTCTCGGCATACTTGACAGGCGCCGGAACGCGGATTGGACCTGTCAAGCCATACGCACACACAGACAGATGAACACACACAGGTAGACCACCCACCGGGCCAGTTTTGGTAGAGCATGGTGAGCTGCATTGTGAGCATGTGGAGGTTGCCCGCTGACAAGCCTGGCAGAAGGAGACAAGGAAACACGGGCAGGCAATGGCGACATGAGTGAGACTCGCCTTTGTCCCTACTCACTCCAGTTGTCGCTATGCACCACCTCATACTTGGTCGGCATCACCGTCCCTTCACATAAGAGAACACGACAGCGCACCCTTGCTCTGCTGTGCTGTGTTGTCTCTCTTCCCCTGTCTCTCTCTCTCTCTCTCTCTCTCTCTCACTGACCTTGCGTGACGGCCTGGTGGCAGCCAAAGAATGCGAATCGATTGTCCTCCGACTCAGTCACACCTATATACCATACACACTGCAGCTGCATCTCCCTATCTCATGCCTTTCTGTTGGTCGGTACATACATTTGTCAAAGATGGTAAGAGGGGGCGGATTGCTGAAATGGCCAAGACGGCGTGGGTCTGGAAAGGAAAATCTGTTGAGCACAAGACAAGACAGACATACAATCACACATGGATCACGACAGAAGACAGACACATGGATGGATGGATGGATTCATCACCGCTGGCAGGAATTTTCGTAGTGATGATGAAGGCGATTTCTGGAGAGTAGTCTGCACGAATCTGCTTGAACGTCTCGGTGATGCTCGGCAGCTCGACCGCAAGCGCAGCCGCCTTCTGACTATCACTCAGGCCACACCTGTATGTTACACAGGCATATACACATACACGAACAGACGTGAGTGAACATGGCAGACCTATAGACGATAACGCGCTCGGGCCTGCGGCAGAGGGCTGACTGATAGACGGTCACGGCATCTGCACATTCGTTCAGCATGCCATGCGGCTGGGCTGACCAGCCGCCGATGCCCCACACGACCTTTGACGAATGCTTGAAGCGTGTGGGGCTCGATGATGTCCTTGAAGCCGTCCTTGATGGTGACCCTAGTGATGTACTCGAGGTACAGCTCGTCACGAGCCGCAGAGAGCACAAAGACGGTCTTGTCTGCATACACACACATATAGATTCGCACACATGCGTCGCGCATCTCTGTGCTCTGCTGTGCTGTGCTGTGTGAGCCGTTGCCTTCGGTCTTCCTGACGTCGATTCCGACCACCATCACAGGCTGTATCCAGACAAGCGAAACTTGCACAGACACGTGTGTCAGCAGTGGTGTCAGACCTTGTCGTGTATCCTCCTCGTGTCAAGTGCCCAAGCAGCGCCGCCGAGCTTGCAGACCATTTGGGCGACCAAACTGAACACGGCGGGTGGGACGTTGGGTTCCTGCGACAGTGAATCGAGGGTTCTTGGCCTCACCATCTGCGTGCATGCACATGCCGACGCATACACACACACACACACACAGAGAGAGAGAGAGAGAGTTTTTGTCTGGTTGGCTGGCTGTATGTATGGATGGGTAGCAACATGACCTGGCTGTGTGCTACTGGCGTGCCGCCCTTGCCGCATGTCAGCCGCGCCTTGATGGCATTGTACACACCCGTCTGCTCTTCCTCCAAACTGTCCGTCCATACACCGACACAAAGGCAAAGACAAAGATGCATAAAGATGGATGGAGGTGTGCTGTCGTGGGCTATACTCACTGGGGAAGTATCCCAAGGACGAGGGCGCCTTTTTCTGCATCAGTGATGTCGCGGATCTTCTCGGACAGCTCGGCCCAGACGCTCTCGTCCCGGATGGCGTCCCACCAGCTGGGCAGCTCTGATTTCACAACACACGGACACACACATGTGGATGCATCGAACATGCCGGGAGCTGCACGGTGGACCGACAACGTCGGCATCTTCGTATTTGATGGCCCACGCTGCAAACCAAATCGAAGATACACATTGCTCGTGCCGCATCGGTGTGTGCTGGTCACTTGCACTCACCCTGGCACACTCGTTGGATGCTGTCGAGAAGTCTGCGCGCCGTTGGTCCGCAGTCCTCTTGATAGATCACTATCAAGCCGTCAAGGTCCGCCTGCATGACCGAATCGACGTACACATGCACGTGCATCAGTCCTCCCTCCCTCGCCCCTCTCTGTGCTGTGCTGTGCTGTGCTGTGCTGACCGGTTTGACGACTGAGTCGAGTCGGATGTAGCCTGTGTTGGGCGGCGGGGCCTTGAAGCCGGGCGGCTCCGCACTCCCCTCCCCGCGCGGCCCCTCCAGAGGACGCAATGCCTCTCGTGACGTGAAATACCTAAAGCTGGCTCCGTCACCCTCAAGCAGCTGCTGCCCTGCACACATCAATGCATGCACACATAGAGGTCCATTCATACACATATGAATGGCTGATCTCTCTCTCGTCCTTGGGCTGGCTCACCGCAGACCAATTTTTAGACTCTCCGATATGTGGATGCCGTACTGACGCAGGAGACCTGACACCGGCAGACACACATGTGCTGACTGATGTGTAGCTGGCCCCTTCAGTGCGTATGTCTGCGTGGTATGCCTGCGGCTGCTGGGCTGTTCATGAGGCAAGTGGCGAGCTGCTGGCTCTCCCTGAGCCGGTCGCCAGGCGACATGCGGCAGAGCCGGGCGATCTCGTCGCTGAGCTGGGCGCTGTTGCGAATCGAGTCGTCGAGGCCTGCTCACACAGGAGACCAGATGCATCCATACCATGTCGTCTTTTGTGTGTGGAGAGAGGGGCTTCACCTGTGAGCGCAATCATCTGTGAAGGGAGGATGCTCTCGTGTACAACTGCCTGCGTGCCGTCGGCTTGCTTCTTCCTCCGACGGCATACGACTAGACAGCGCAAGACAGGGGCCAATATGATGTGTGTAGGCTGGGTGGGTGTTGGCCTGTGTGTGGGGTTGACTGACCCAGCGGTTGGTTTGGTTCGAGTTTGATATTGTATCTGCTGAAATAGTACTCGCCGACCTTCCACTCTCGGCCGTTCTTGTCACGGAATGTTCGGGTGGCGGGAGTGTAGTGGAACTCAATCTGCATCAACACATCCACACACGGCAACCATCCAGCCGCGGGTGTACTTGTGTCATGTGTATATGATATCTATTGCCTCGTCGATGGCGTGGAGCTGTCGCTTGCTGTCGCTCTCCGGCCGCTTGCCTGTGCGAAAGACACACAAATTCTGTTGCCTGTATCGGTGAGCCTTGAGCTAGTGCAGTACGTACGTATAGTGTGACTACGCGCCGGCCTTTGAACTTCTGATTGATCCGGTCGGCGAAGTTCTGGAGAGTGCCGTTGAAACCGCTCTGATTGATAGAAGTGCATGGAAAACACCCGTGCAGTGGAGCTGCGTGCGAGTGTCTGTGGCGGG